ATTCCAAACATTTATTGAAATATGTGAAAATGAACTGAATGCATGACCACAAATCCCCATTTCAAGCCTCTTCACAAAGCCTGACTGAGTTTTCAAGCTGCTGTTCAGAAAAAATTCAAATACAGGTTTAGGGGCCCAGTACAACTGAGCTCAGTGCTCATCAGTCCTTTAATGTAGACCAAAGGTCTTTGTGGTTCAAAATCATCTACAGCAATGCTAAGCAATGCACTCGTTGCTTTTGCTGACTTTCAGTAAACCAGTAGGATGCCAGGCTGTCACGCTCAGAACATCTGCTTCATTGGAAAAGTATTTCAGCAGCCTTTGCCTTGTTATAAATGATGTGATCCTGGAAGGCCGACAGCAGCGCAGGAGTGCGGGCAAACAGCTCACCAAAAGGTCAAAGACACCCAAAGCTTCTGGATCAGCAGCACCATTTCTGTCCACCCCACCCTACCCAGAGTCTTAGAGCTGCAATGAATAAGTGAAAAAGTACATCACTGATAATATATCTTCTACCAATGAAGAACATGAGAGGGGAGGAAAGGAGAGGAAAGCAGAGGAGAAGGGAATCCGGCTGTGAAGATATTTACTCTCCCACCGAAAACAGAGCGATTCCCAGAAGTGCCGCTTAGTTTGCCTCAGTCAGAATGAACTTGGGTAGCAAAATGTGAGATATAAACTATTTCCGTTATGAAATAGGCTACAGAGTGCTTACACAAACAGCTTCACTAGCACACAGATACCTGTCCATCTTAATTTATAGCCTTTCCAAGAACAGTCTCTTAGCATCTGACTTTTTTTTTAAAGGAGTTATTCATTTTCTTTCATCTTTTAGACTCTGTATTCTCCTAAAACACAACCCTCCACTGCTTCTGTAATCTCTTTTTTTCCATCTACAATGCAATGTCAAGAAACCCCCAATGCCATAAAACAGTGCAAACATTTCAATTGTACCAACAATGTAAACAGCATCAAAAAGATTTTGGATCCTGTTCGTCTACCTGTGGCATTAGTAGTCAGTGGATGCTCTGCTGCTACAGTTAGAGAAAGGTCTTGTTCCTGTTGTTATTGTTATTGCCTTTTAAAGTGAAATGATAGTAGTACTGTTGAATGGTAGCATTTTACAGCAATTTAACTTCCTGCCTAAAGAAGCAAATCTGCATGAGAATTACCTGGAAAGCACAATCACATACACACAGTGTTTATATATATGTATGCACATATATGCTGGCATTTTCAGAACAGGTATGTCATACAGCATATCAAAGGCCATAGGGATAAAGCATAAATTAGTTGGCAAGATTATTTTCTAAACTAATTTCCTAGAAAAGGAACCATTTCCTAAAAAATCCTACCATTACTCTCCAACCTATTCTTTGATGAAAAGTGGAGCTGATTTCTACCTTCATTCTTATTTACCTTCCATGAAAGCACCACTGAGGACCTAATGAAGAATGCTGGGTAATTCTGGCATTATTGGATTTTTGGTTATTTATTTATTAGACATGAGAGCTGTTATCAGCAAGCAGCCAGGTGAGTCAAATCAGATAAAGCATTATCTGATTCCTGTGCTGTAAATCAGATTTTAATAGAGAAAAGATCTGTATGCCTTTGGGATTGGAAAGAATATGTTTATAATGTGTTCTGAGTGTCTGCTACACAATAGCAAGTATGGATAAAAATATTTTCTCTAATCAATTTTCCACCTTCTTCTCCAAGTTCTTTCACACATAAGATGAGAACTAAAATAAATGAAAATTCTGTTTGTCACAAGTGCTACCAAATAACTAAGATAAGCATGCATAAAAGCACGCATACATGCTGCATTCTCAAACGGACATACAAAAAATACTGAATTCTGCAATATTAAAAGACGTTGTAATTTCTCTGCTGGCAGAATAACTTACAGATTTCAGGTTTATCTAATTCAGCCATTGAAATGAGACCCTTGGTGGCCTACTCTTAACCTCAATACACCTTCTATCCTAGGTATTTATCCTTGTCTTTGAATCTATAAAGTCTTAAGACAGCACCTGTAGACTGGACACAGATAATATTTGACTACCTGTTGAAGGTTTTACAAATTTTAATCAGCAGAGTAATCTAGATATGCTCAGACAGAAATTAATGTTGAACATAAAAAAACTTAATACAAAGCCAGCTCTTTCTTGTACTGCAGTCTTACTTGAATTTTAATTTGCTGGAAATTTTTGTTCTCAAAAATGAGGACTCCCCTCTCACCTAATGCATCTATGTTTGAACTAAAATCCTGTAATTAGTTTACTGTCTGGATACTTAAATATTCTGAGGACTCAAAAATTACTTTTAAAATCAAACATGCCAGGTCACATCCAATTAATTCCACAACAAACTGGAGGAATAGGCCTCTCATGTCATATTTGGCTTAACATTTCTTCTATGATTTACACATGAAAATGAATTTATAGCCAAACGTTTTTATGTACTGAGGTTTATGAAGGTGTGTGCTCAGAGTGCCATTAAAGAATGAATAGGGAAAGCTCTGCCACTGCCAGCCATCAGCAGCAAGGCTGACATCCACATCACACTTCACTATCTTCTTATTCCCTTTTCTTCCCAGGTGAGCCTTTGCTTCTTCATCACAATTCACAGGAGGACTAATATTTTTAAAAATAACTGCAAAACTACAGGCAGCATAGAAGTCATTAACACAATGGAAGCTAATATCAAACTTAAGCTATCTGAATGTAGGTCCTACTTTCCAGTGAAAAAAACCCAACCAAGTCTCTACTAACCATATGCTGTATTTGAGCTATTGGTTTCCCTTTTGGGAAATGCAGCTGCACTTTATTTTTTTTTTTATCACTATCTGAACAATACCATTATTCCAGGGTTATTCTGTATTTGGATGAGTAAAGGTTAGCTCTAGTCAGTTGGGCAAGAGAGTAGTTTCAGGTTGTCTCAGACAGATTGAATATCTACAAGGAAGACCAGATAATTTTTTGGTTTTATATATCTCTCTAAAAATACATTTGTGATTAAAATGGAGAAATAAATGAAGGAACTATGACCTATGAGAAACACGAATACTGAATCTGAAAGCATAGCCTGTACTTGGACACACTGTACACATCACTAAGGAAAATACTGTAAAAGTCTGTTCTCTTTCCTCCTGGAGACAGTAACAAGGGTGGGGAGAAGCATAGATGATGGTGTAGTGTTAACATGAAACAAGTAGGAAACAGTTTTTTAAATACTTTTTTGTCCCCCCAAAAAAAGAAAAAAAAAAGGATGAAATTTAGTGTAATAAAATTCCCCATAGGTCCACATTTAGTTATGTCTCTAAGAAACCTAAGAATTTTACTACAGCACAACTAGAATGACCAACATTGAAGAAACTGATATCTCAACCCAACCCTAGATAGGAAAAAACCTTTGCTGCCATTGCATATCCCCTCTGTGCCCTCTTTCAGCTGGCACAGCTAGACTAGCAATCCCTTTTTCCATAGCTTCAGCAGACCAGGCAATCATAATTTTGTATTAACAAAGCCACAAAGCCATGTCATTTGTGGGAGCAAACAGATCATCTTTAAAATTACTCTTTCTAATGAGCACCTTGTAAATCCGATGAAATTTTTGTCATTAAGCTCAAGAAATTTCTGATGTATCTGAAAAACGGCATTTTAAACTAATAGTAAAAACCAAAAGAAAGGCTGCAGCCTCACAGCATCTACCACGTTCTGATCCACACAGTAGCCTTTTGCAATACGACATAGGCTTCAGAGATGCTTCCTTCATTAACATGACGTTGGTTTGAGCTTTTTTCCCCTCACCATGGCAGGTAGAACATTTTCTGAGAAATTAGTGTCTCAGTGCAATGGGCCACAAAATTCGCTGCATAACAGGAGATGAGCAGATGCAGATTCAGAACCTTATTTGTCAATTGTACTTATAAGTACAAGTGAAAATATCTGACACTTTTTCAAATTAAGAGAATGTCCCTTATACAATATAGTCAGCTCTTCCAATCCAGTTTTAAAGGACAAAAGCATTGCTAGCCTGGCATCTCTTCATCTGGCAATTCTCTCACATCCCAAAATTAATGCCATATTTATATCTTTTATCATTATTGAGGTACTAATGCCTACCACCATCTTAATTGCACATGTTCAAGCTCTCAGTGGAGTAAGAAATTGCCTGGACTAGGAGGTGTTCTGCTGCCTGGCACAGTGGGTCAATCTCAGATTTTAGCCAGCTAAGGCACTGCATTGCAAACTGTGAGAACCGTATGCCCTTTCTACATGGGATGGGTCTAAAGCCTGGTCATGTCAGACTGTGAGACCAGAGCCTCTCAATTACTGCTTTCCTCCCCCTTAAGTTTTAATGAATCTTTATTGAAAATATCCCATTACTTTCCTCTGTAAATACATCCTGAATGACTCAGTACAGGAGGGAGGGGTAGGAGGATGAAGGTTGCTTCAATTTTTTTTTAATCATGAAACCTCCTTTTTTACAGATAAATGTCCCTGGTTCTAGATCAAATGCACCTTTTTTCCACTTTAAAATAAGAAAAAAGATGCATTAATTCAGAGTTGACAAACAGACAATATACATGAAGCAGTTCAGAAGTGAGGAAGCTTCAATAATCTGTATCACATTATTATTTGTCTGCTGTAACTTTAGGGCTTATAAACAGAAGTTTAGACACTCGTGGCTTCTCCTCCCTGGAGGGTAATGTATCAAGATGGTAATGTATCATGACCTCAACAAATGTTCTATTTGAAGAGCACAATGACTCCCAAATGGAAAACATGTTTCTGCCTGTGATATCTCAGGTTTAAACATATTTCTCTTCTTTTTTTGTAAAAGCCCCTTCATTTCTAGGAAAAAAAATGGCCCAGCAGAGATTCAATGCCAGGCTCCACCTTTAAACTTGTAAGGCCCTTCAGCACTGGTGATGCTGGTGTAAATGTATGGTTAGGACCACATCAAACCCACCGTCCCAGAGGCATCTGACTTACTGAGGTTCCACTTAAGGCCTGTCGTGGTCACGCTCTCGCAGGAGTTCCCAATGGGGATGAGGCCACACCAGGTGCCTTCCAGTCCTGTGTCCACACGCAGCTTGTGCTTGCCCTGTAAGACAGAAGGGCTTCTGGAGTCAATGCTTGCCAGGCACCCAAACCTGCTAACAGACCTTGCAAATAAAATAGAAAATACTTAGATGGAGGCACGTCCAGAATGTCCCCCAAGAGCTCAGGAATATTTCACTGCAGCAGGAACTCAGGCCATTAATGTTTACAGAGGGTGGAGAGATGTGTGCTTAGGTTCCAGACCTCAGGGCTTTCTGGTTTGTTTCTAGGTTTTTCTAAGCAGAGTCTGGCTTTATGCATTCTTTCCTATCATTTTTTGAATAGACACTTCTGTCAAAGCTAGGCTCTTTATTCCCAGAAATGAAGGCATCCTGATCCATTAATTCATTTTTTCCTCATCTAAACAGCTGTGTTTCACTTCCTAAACAATGCTAGTCAAAGTGCCACTGAAACTCCTTCATTATTTTGACAACATCTGTAAAATTTCATGTACTTCCCCAGGCTTGTACTCTTCCCAGAAGGACAAATATGTGCAGAAACTCAACTAGGTGCTAGAGAAATTAGCCTAGATATTTAAAGTAACATGCTTACAATGAGAAAGAACAAAAACTGAAATTAAAGAAAATTTTTTGTACACCTAAGATAAATTTATCTTGTAACTCTACAGTTCATGGGATGCAGGAGAAACAACAGCTATTAATGATGATGGATTTGTGACAAAGCTCTTAATTAGCACTTATAGACCCTGTGTGAACATCTTGCCAGGTATCAGCATATGAACAGTTGCAAGGAAGAGTAGATAGAGGAAATCTTTTACAGAATGAAAAAAAAAAGTGCTGAGTGTTATAGTTCTGGCACAGTATGTGTTCTAAGAAACTAAGGAGGTGTTTATGGAAAAGCTACAAGAGAACAGCAAATGCCAAGTAGTGACAAGATCAGTGAAGATACCATCTCTGGTCTCTTCTACA